CTTCTGTCCATATCTGTGTAGCACAGCAGAAACTGTACTGCCACCTGTTTTTCCGGTTTTAACAAATATAAAATTTGCCTGTGGTTTACAACTTTGGGGCGATTTAGTATGATTGATAGTGTATGTGTTGTTAATTATGCTTGTTGTCGATCCATTCTTCTCTTTCTGTGCCGAGTTGTTATGACCTCTAGTATTTGACTCTAATGGTCTCTTGCGGTTCTTATTTGAATACTGCTTCTCTATTTTCGTAACTCTGTAAAACGAAAAATTAGAATATTCTAAAAACAACAGTATACTGAACACTGAGACCACATTATTGTGAAAATGATTCTAATATGAACTATATAATGTCAATGCGGAGTAAGGTTTTTACGTTCAATAGGTTATGTTGTATGTACAAATCAAGCATATAAAAAATGAATTTAAAGGACGGTAGTCGTCGCGCCACGCATGCGCGAGGTATTTGAGTCTCATGGAAACAAAGATGGCGACTTTGACTGTTGCGCAGATCAACAAGTACAAATTGAGACGTTACCAAGCTTTAATTGGGTTATTATAGGTCATTGGAAAGTATCGAAGGAGTCAATGGTGGAAATTAGGGCAAGTCGCGCCCAGGTCAACCCTCATACATGTGATTCCCATTTGAAGAGCGCATTGCATTATGGGAAAATTAATTGTTATCAACACAAATGTCGCACATGCGCAGCGAGACGACCACCACGCTTTAATTTCAACTCACCCTTTACGTTTCATATCTGTGGAGCCGAGCACGCACGCCTTAACAGTTTGTAATGACTTGAGATCTATATATACAAACCAGATACAACAACACACAAAAACAAGGAGAACGATGGTAACTATCTTCGCCGCCATTGTAGTCTATGTATTGGAAAGAGAAATAGCCAAATGTCGATCATTATCATATTATATCATTTTATGAGTGTGTTACTATTACATCGTACGACGGTTCATTAAATGCAATTTCATTTTTAGAAATATATAAAAACACTAGCTGTAACTCATGATTAATGCAGATCCAAAAAATCATTTTGAAGGAAATGTACAACTGGTGTTTTATTAGTAAATGAAAATGTTATAGTCTCTAAGACAAATAGAGTTCCATTGAAATAATTGCGGCCATCTAATTTGAATCGTTTCAGACAAATGTATATATTTCGCCAAGAAATTCAGACCAATTAATGTGGATGCTACTCATGAATGCAAATACAAATGCAAATTTTGTCATTTTCCAATAAATTATACTTCCTGGCTCAATTTCGAGAAAATTATGGTTGTATTTTAGTGGATAATGACAATTGTAACAGTATTATAAACGATTCTACCATAGATTTAAATTGTAGGCAGGTAAAAAAAAAACATACATTGTTAATGATGTTAATATATGGATTTATAAATTGTCAAAAATGCAATTTTTCTTTAACATTGTGCTCTATGAGAACTGTTCTAAAAATAGCGATTGTCTCAAAAGACATCACTGTATACAAATGAATGCTATTTACATAATAGACCAATGAACATTGTCATGTGATTTATGACCAACTTTTTCAAGATTATGAGTAAACTTCTACTTTAATACAAATTAGTCCTAAGTGTACAAATCGACAGCATGGTTTGCACGCCGTGAACACGTGTACACCAGTTACGCGTAGACCACTCAGCTGATTGGTAATTTCTCAGACGGAAATGACCTGCATTTCTAAACGTCTGATGTTTACCTATCCAGAAACTTTCTTGTTCTTATGTCAGCTTTGACTACCCCACCAGTTATCATGCATGAATTGGGTGTTGTAACATCACATAGTCGTCAACCACATGATATAAACAATACTAATCATATACATAACTGACACGTAACCATGAATTTGGATTGATAGCTGTCTATTTGTATTGCCATATTTTGTTTGGATTGCAAAAAAGCAAACAGTATCTCAATTGATGGGACCGAATGCTATTTTGGCAACAGCTGAATCACCCACGTGTCAAAAAACATAGGCCAGCAAATTATTCATTTATTAACCTAGTTCGTCTCAGGAAAATGTATTATTTTCAGAGAAAAAACTTTGCCACATTTACCAAATTATAGAGTAGCTTTTTTGCAACTGATTTCAGAATGAATTCACTTGACGCTAGTTTGATTTGGTGATGGCAGTACCATGTCATATACTCCAAATGAAACACAATTTAGACCTAATTCAATATATCACTCACTCCTGAATATTCAACATGACTACTGCAGTGAATCTCACATGTTTCGCAAAATTAGTAATTAATCTCCGTTGGTCGCCTCACATACATACTCCAAGCTACATACTGGTCCATCTTGTACAATATGTAAGTGAATGATCGTACACTGAATTAGTGAATGCCTTACCCGCAGTGTTCAATGGCTGATCAGCAGAATATGGCGTAGTCTACATAAAATAATATAAATGAAAAACCCAACACGATGTCGGATTATTCTTGGATATAATATGTTTAATAAGTGAAACAAGCACGTCCTTACCTTTTGCATAATGGAGTGTGTAAAATATGTTTTAAACACATATTTGTACTGCCCTCATTAGCATAATGAACATAGATACAATAATGCTATAATTGTTGCATAGTCACTTATCATTTCTTTCAGCTATGTGTAATTACACCGTGTGTTATTTAGTCCCCAAAGAGGCTT